AGAGTTGGACAGACGCTCTTTACATGTATCGTGTCTAGCGATTGCGAGTGACGTAAATATTATTGTAAGTCTATGCTCCAGAATCCATGGATGGTCCTCCCCTTCAGGTATAAGAACCCTTCCCTTCCCCCCTCTTCCTCTTCCTCTTCTCTTCCTCTTTTCGTCGCCGCCGAGAAGCTTTCGCCCTGCGTCCCTGTAGTTTCTTGTCCCCCATGGCTGCCCTTACCCCCGAGGAGCGTGTCATCCACGCCCGCTGCTGGGTCGCTGGCATCGAGCCCGACGACGATGAGTTGTAAGTATTCCCTTATTTTCGTTTGCTCGTCTTTCCCTAACTCTTCTCGTTCTCCCAGCGGCATGCGCCTGCCCCCTTGCGCGACCTGCACTCTCACGCTCGCCCGCTGCTCCTGCCCTCAACGAGTTGATTACTGATGTGGAGGTTTTCCGCATCGTGCTTACCGAACGCCTCGACAACCTTGACACCCATCTCGATCGAGTCGATGCGAACATACGTCAAGAGGTGGCGGGCGTGGTCACGGCTGTTAGGGCTCTCCAGACTCAGGTGGAGGAACTTACTGCTGCTAATGCGAATCCCAAGGGCCAAGCACGCCCTACTTCCTCCCCTTCTGCCATTGCTACGCCTGCCATGTCCACCTCTCCTGAAGCCAAGGGTGCCAAGCCCACGAAGGTTGTCCGTCCCCGTAACAACGGGGAATGGGTCGACAGCAACATCAACGAACTCAAGATCACGTTCGATGATGTAAAGGACAACACCAGCGAGTTTACTCCAACACCGCCGCGCCAACGAACAGCACCACCACCACCACGTCCACCACCAGCAACAGAAAACAAAAACAAAGCTCCACCTAACAGGCAACTGCGCCCGCTGCACCAGCCTCAACGTCGACTACGACACGGGCAAGCCGGCCAAGGGGGAGATGGGAAGTGTGCTCAAAAAGCTGATGAAGGACCGCAGAGTGGACCCGGGGATGAAGTGGAGTCCGGTGTTTGGGCGGTATGCGTTTGTGGGGGAGAGTGTGAGTGTCAGTGTCAGTGAGGGAGAGGTATGGGAGCAGGAGGGGGAGGAGGGGCAGGAAGGGGCGGAGACATGGAGGCGG